TTTAAGAATACAATGGACCGTGTTGTGGCGATGTAAGAATAACCACTACCCTATATTGTTCTATATGGTGTGTCGTCAAAGGCAACAGAAGATAACAAGTGAGGAGATTGGCAGCGTCTTCCTAGGAACAACAAAAAAAAAATTCGGTTTCCGACCCCCTGCCAAATGTGTAAACTATGGCAATTATCCTTACTATAAGAAAATGTATTGGGGAAGCCTACGTACAGCAGTGGCTGCAAAGTCCACGGTAAGAATAAAATGCTGATACGTTGTAACTCTTGCGTTATCACTCAAAATAGTGTTGTATTTCGTATGAGTTACGTAAATCTCCAGTTCGCGTCACACATACGAAAAACAACACAATTGTGCTGCTATTTTCCGCTGTTATTCTGCGTGAGTATGGTCCATTCGAGGTCAAGCCAACAAATTGATACAATACGCTGCAGAAAGGCTTTACCACAATAGTGCTTTGTCACCCGTGAGGACTAAGATGGATTGCTTCGTTTCCAGTAAAAACGGTCTCCGGTTCTCTACACTCACCATGCGAAACATAGCAGCATTAAGCTGCCAATTTACGCTGGTATTCTGTAATAGCGTGGTCTTTCCTCGGTCTAGCTGACCCATTCATGCTACAACTATGCCAAATGTATAACATTTTGAAATACGACCGAGACCGAGAAGTTTCTTTATTCGACAATTTTTATATATGCTCACCCTTTTCTCGGAAAAGACTGAACTGATAAATTTTTTTCTTTAAATTATATACTCATATTTCTGGGGTGTTTTCATATGAATTAAAAGAAAAATGCCATCCCTAAGGGTGAAATATCAGGGTTGAAGATTTTAATGTACCTATTTATGTCTTCCCTACAGCGGGAGGGGTTTATGTCCAGTTGTGGATTTTTACGGGCTAATAATGATTTTAATATCATGGTTTTAGAACCATTGTTATAATAACCAAATTATATTTAAAAACAACAATGCTTGAACTAAAATATTTACTTGATACTTTTGAGCTCTTATTTTATTTTATTTTATTTTACTTTATTTAATTCGAAAAAGAAACGGCATTGACACTTTGCACGTAACACAAAATTTAAAATTGATTTAGCTATGTATATAAAGTTATTCATATATGAAATAAAAATGAAATAACTCTTCAGCACTAAGTTTGTTTTTTGACGCAAATAGAATATTGCATTAAATTTTTATTTTAAATACGGCCCAGTGTGCACACAACTTTATATAAATAAGGATACTTCTCATGTTATAAATAAAGAGCTTTGCATAAAGTTCCGCAATTTATTCTTATGTTAAATTGTGTGTATTTCACGAGTTGTGGCTCAGTGACAAGAGGCTTACATAATAACATACCCTTCGCGAGCTCAAGTTCCATTATAGCGGAGATTATCTGCTATTATTTGGATTAACGGATATTATTAACCGCGCTCCAATGAACAAGGCCTCGATTCACGAAACGAATTAGCATCGAGTGAGAATACTATATAAATTTCTCCATATATAGGTACGCTATTTGTACTCGAAGCGTTATCATCTCATATAACGAGTGCCAAACCAACTTCGCTAGTTTTGCGCATTAATAAATCTTAATGGCAGTGAAACCTTTAATATATTTTATGTTTAGTCCGCCAACAATCAATGTGACAGCGTGGTGGACTCTTCTCCTGATTCAAAATCGTCTCAGAAATTACTAGGAGTATATGCCTTTTAAGAGACGACAAATGAAAACAGAAACAGTAGATGAGCATCCATTCATAATTCATTCATAATTCATTTATTGCATGTCACAAAGTATAAAGTTGTTACAATATGTCTACAGAGCATGTGACAACCCTGTACGGGCGTAGCATATTAAGATCTATTTTAATTGTTAATTAATATGAAATTAAATTAAATTACAATTTTTAAGGTACATAATCTATACATTATTATTAATTAATTTATCAAATATCAAACTAAATAAATAATACACACATTTATTTAAAATGAAATGTCAATAAATATTTCATCTTAACTATTGGTTATTTTAATTCATATAAATAAGATTTAAAACTTTGATGAAAATATTAGTAATGTCATTTAAGTAAATAGAAATAATAAATTTTGTCAAAATAATTTAAATTTATAATTTGTCATTAAAATATTCATTTAAGTTATAATAGCTTTTTACAATAAGCATTTTCTTAAGTACTATTTCAAATTTACGACACTGGAGGGCTTTTATATTATTTGGTAAATGGTTGTAAACCTTTATTGCCATGTAGTAGGGACCATTTTTAAATATTGTTAGATGTGCGGTAGGAGCGACCAGGTTATAACCACGGTGACGTGCGCCATATCGATTGGGTCTATCCCCAATTCGTTGAAAATAATGAGGACTTTTCCTAACAAAGCGGCATAATTCAAAAATATAAATGCACGTCACAGTTAATAAGTTGAATTTAGGGAACAACTTTCGACATGAATCTCTTGGAGCTACGAATGCAATTATTCTAAGGCAACGTTTTTGGAGCACGGATACCGCGTGCACCTCGGTAGAATTGCCCCAGAATATGATGCCATATCTGATCCAGGCAGCGGCGTGGCTGTGGTACGCAGTAAGCGCACACTGCTCGTTTGTGTCTTTACGCAGCTCGCGCAAGGCATAGCAAAAACTGCTCAACTTACTTACTACGCTCTCTATATGCTTTTTCCATGAAAAAGTTGAGTCTATTGTTATCCCTAGGAGCGAAAACGTGCGAACTTCCTCAATATTTATACCTTGGTAAGATATAGCGAGTGGGACTTCTAGTCTCTGATATGGGCGAAACTGCATTAATTTTGTCTTTTCAAAATTTAACAATAAACCCAAAACGTCCAATTCATCCACAATTTTGCTAAGGCAGTAAGCTATATTTTCCTGTAAACTAGTGAGATTTTTTTGTTCACAAGTAATTATAACTGTCGCGTCGTCTGCAAACAAAACGACTCTATGTGGTATTACTGAAGGGAGTTCGTTAATATATGTAGAGAACAGCAAGCATCCTAGGACGCTACCCTGTGGTATAGATCCTTTTACTGTGGTAGTGTATGAGTTTATTTCATTTATTATTCTTCTATTTTCATTTAAATGGGATATCTGTACGTACTGTTTTCTATTCGCAAGATAAGAAGAGAGCCACTCGTGCGGTTTCCCTCGTATTCCTAGAGAATATAGCTTTTCTAGCAAGGGACCATGCAAAACGCGATCGTATGCTTTGGACATGTCCATAAAAATAGCTACAGCACATCTTCCCTCATTTAGAGCATTATGAATTTCTAAGATGATGTCAAATACAGCGGATGTGGTAGAATGTTTTTTTCGGAAACCATGTTGATATCTATTAAAAATGTTGTATTTTTCAAAAAAATTATATATTGTACTACAAATTATACTCTCAAAAATTTTCGAAATTACAGGCAGTAATGCGATGGGGCGATAATTAGACACATTAGTTCTATCTCCTTTTTTAAAAACCGGTTTTATCACTGCTAATTTTAGATTTTCCGGAAAAACGCCATCCTCATACGATTGATTTATAAGAAAAGTTAAGGGTTTTACGAACTCATCTACGCAATATATCAGTAAGGTAGCTGGGATTTCATCATATCCACAAGAGTTGTTTCTTTTAAGTAGCATTATTGCCCTTTTTACATCAGCCTCTGTAACACTACCCAGATATAGTGAATTTGGTAAGGATACTCGAGATGGCTGTTTATTTAGAGAGCAGCAGTTTTTTGAATTTATGGTTATATAATAATTATTAAATATGTTTGCAACTTTACTAGGAGATGTTTTTAACCCGTCATTACATAAATAAATGTTTTCATGTTTTACACTTTTACATTTTTTAATTTTTTCATTAATCATAGCCCACATAGTTTTATATTTATTACGTGACGTTTGCAGTCTTTTTATGTACGATTTTCTTTTTTCTGTGGCTATTATTCTCTTTAATATTTTGCTGTAATTTTTTAAATAAGATTTTAAGGCTTCGTTATTGTGGTAGTTCGTAAGATAACGTAAAAAACGTTTGTTATGACAACATTTTTTAATGCCTTTTGTGGCCCATTTTGTCTTCACTTTATTTTGTAATTTATAAAATTTTCGTGGAATATGCTCTTCTAAAATAGATGTGATTTGGTTCTGGAATTTATTATAGTTTGTATTTATATCACTCGTTCGGGTCATTATGTTACTCCAATTAATTTCATTTAGTTTAATTCTGAAATTATTCATATTATTTTCATTAAAAAGTCGTTTGTTTATTTTATAAGTAATATTTTTTCTATTTATGTTCTCTTTTACTGGTATTTGTCCAATTAATGTGTGATGGTCTGATAAGTCATAGTTTTGTACAAAAGCCGTCATGTATGTATTTTTAGAAATTATAAATTGGTCAATGCATGATTTACAGTTTTGGGTCTCACGTGTGGGGGTGTCTATAAGACAGCGTAACCCGAATGATTTTAAAAGATTGATAAGTCTACGAGATATTTTTGTGTTCTTTGTAATATCAATATTTATATCACCCGCTATGATAATTTTTTTGTTATGAGAATTTTTAGATAAGTGGTGTAGTAAAGCTTGCATTTGAATGAAAAATGTTTCTATTTCCCTCTCACAGCGATAAATGGCCACAATCAATAAGTTGGATTCGGTAATCTCCAACGCACACAATTCTATGATAAATTCTACTGTGAATGATTGAATGTCTAAACGTTCTTTAGTTTTCATATTTTCTCTAACAAAGATACCAACCCCACCGTGTATATGTTTTTGCCGTAAATACTTCGCACGTAGTTCGTAGCCCTCTAATGTGTAAAAATGATAGTTAATAGGTAATAACCAATGTTCACTTACGATTAATAGATCTATATTAACTTCCATTAATAATAAGTTTAAGTCGTCAATTTTGTTGGAAAGACATTGAATGTTTTGATACATAATTTTGTAGTATTTAGGGGCGAAAGGAAGACTTCTGTGAGTCAGTTCTATTTTCTTGACACGTTATTACTTCCAGATTAGAGATATTTTCCATTCGTCGATTTTCACTGAATGTTAGATCGTCAAATATTGTTATGAATTCGTCAATGTCGTGCAAATAGGTCTTTAATCCGAGTTTATTTAATTTTCCATTATATATTGAGAACATATGAGTGGAATACTCTAAATTTTTATTTGAGTCTAAAATGTAACAGTATTCAAAATTAATATTATCAGAGTATAATAAGTTATTAAAGGTTTCAATTCTTCTATTATATATATTTGATTGGTTACAAAATTTAAAAGTGGGCAGGCATATCAAAATATTTGTGTGCTGAACGGTTAAAAGGGCTTTTCTTATATTCAAAACTAATTCATTATAATTTTTGGAAACATTAAAATCAGTTTCACCTACAATCAAAATACAATAGTCATTAAGGGTGTAATCTTCAAGTTTTGTTTGTAGACCACTTAATAGTTGGTTAATACCACCTCCTGTTATGCGGTAGTGGCAGATGTTTTGCGTCTCGAAGTGGTTTCTTAGTGTGGCTGCCATTTTATTGCTGCGAATGCTGCTGATGATGCACAGTTTCCTATTCGGAGAGTACTTGCAAGTTCCTTCACTAGTCTTAGTTTTTGAGGCTAGAGATTCGGCGTAAAAACGGCTTCTATCGTTCACAATTTTTTCAGGTTGAGTAGCAGGCAATGTTTCTTTAAGCTTTATTTGTTCAACACATCCGGAACTATGGCGTGTATCAGGCTTGAAACTTTTTGTTTTTTGTTTTTTGGGTTTACTTAAAGGCGTTGAGTTATATGAATTATTAGCTGGTTTTCTCAATTTTACGTCATCGATACTAACAGTTTTGTAAATTTTTATAATTTTTTCTTGTTCTAAAATTTTTTTGTTAAGTTTCCTAATCGTAATATTTAAATTATCTACCTCTTTGTTTGCTATGATTAGTTCTGTTCGTAGTCTTAAAACTTCTTCTTTTAACTCTTGTATCATCAAGCAGTCTCTTAAGTCGTCATCTGGTAGACTGCGAGAGGTTTTTTGTAAATTTAATGAACGAGAGTGTGTATTAGTAGACATAAATGAGTCTGAAAAATCTGGTAGTGATTCAGGTAGTTTTTTATTTTTCTGACGAAAGGTTACAAATTCTGCGTACTCATCATCCACGTCTAGTACATCAAAGGAGTTAGTTGTAGGTATATTTATATTTAGTTGATCAAAATTTGGCAGTTTTTGGTATTTACAATAATCGCATAGGCATTTTTTTCTTTTTTCGACATCTAGTAAGAAGAAAAATTTTTCTCCTATACTTGTGCAGTCTAAGTGAAAGAAATTCTTACATTTGGGACATTCAATAAAGTCTCGTTTTGTTATTTCTTCCCTGCATTTAAAACAATTTTTCGACATTTTGTAGTATTTTCTTCCTTTTGTAAAATAAATTAAAATAGTTTTTAATTTTTAGTTATCGCCATCTATTGTATTGTAACTGCACTATTATTATACAAAGGCATGCTTTTTATCTTGTCGTCGGTGGTCAATCAATTATTGAATTTGTTTTACCGCTAGATGGCGGCTGTTTACAATGGAATCTAATTCACTTTGAGAAGTTAAAATCAGCTGATTGGTCAGCTGACTTGTGTTTACAAATTTAAACAGCAAACGTTTCACCAGTTGAGTAAAAATAGTAAATTCAAGCTTTTATGGTTTAATTTTTCACTTACGACATGAGTTGTAGAAATACTAGGTTGGGGCACTTATTAATTCACTTGCACTTGAACACTTCGTACTTTTATTACGGTTTTATTTGTCTTATCAATACTGATTGATTTTCACACAATATACACTGGTTTTTACTGAGATAACATTTCCACCGCTCTATTGTATCTAATTTTATCTGGAAAACACTGATTTACTATATTTAGATCACTATTTGTTAATTTTTATAAATTTATAACGGAGCTCGATGTTAACCGTGACAACTAGCGACACCTATCTCACCTATCATCATTATCCTGATGGGAAATCCTGAAGGGGAGTAAGGGGAATACGTTATCTACCATCTAAATCGACTCAAATGTCCACCTCACCTGCACGCCTTAGTGGTTCGTACGAATAACTGGCTACGATGCTCAACATCGTCGTGCCCCTACTAGAAAACTAACGAGGCTCTGGCGACCGAACAATGGCGGTATAACCACACATACCTGAAAAGAATCCTGGTCATAAAAGGCAGGCAGCAGCCTTCAGGTACAAATAATCTCTTAAATTTCTGGTGCAGAAGGCAACGGGAGACCACTGTACTATTTGTTCACTAGTTGTCGGCTTACTAATATGGAAACGTTAAAGAAAATGATGGCCTCGAGTTCCTGGGTTCCTTAAGATGGGACAGCGGTATAGTGCTAAGAATCTACAGGCAGCAAATAAAATAAATTAAATTTGGAACGTGGAATGTGAGAAGTTTGAAGTGTCCAGAAAAGGTCTACAACGTATGCAAAGAAATGAAACGTTTGGATAGGTAACAGTAAGAAAAGAACAGATAACGATTATACTATGTATTTATTACTCTGGTGATGAAGACTCCTCCATTAAGTACGGAGTAGGAGTGATTTTTTATAGGATAGGGTGACAAACATGGACACAGTCCACCTGATGGTAAGTGGTTGTTGTGGCCCATAGACATCTACACTAAGCCTCGTTTGTGAATCAAAATACAGATGCGTAGTCACCCATGAATACTAATATGGAATGCCTCTTTTCCAGTAAAAAGGGTCTCCGATTCTCTACACTCACCATACGAAACACAGCAGTGTTAAGCTGCTATTTTGCGCTGGTATTCTGTGAGAGCGTGGTCCTTCCCCGGTCGAGCCGACCTATTCGTGCTACAACTATACTACTAATATAGCTGTAACATGGCTCTACCACGTATCATCTTAAACATAAAACGCCTTAATACAACTGTAAGCTTAGGACCCAAATCAATCCGAACCATGATGCTTCAAATTGAGGCTAAGCCAAGAAACATCATCATTATCCAAGTGTACGCTCCCACCACTGATGGTGAAGATCAAGATATTACAGATTTTAAATAAGAAGTCCAGGTAACTAAGAATCACGAACTAAACCTAGTGATGGGTGATTTTATTGCCATGGTAGACCAAGGTGAGCTCTCTGGAGTGGCCGGAAAATTTAGACTTGGGGCAATAAACTAAAGAGGCGACACTCTTAAATTTTGCCATAAAAACGACTTTATCATCATGAATACTTGCTTACAGCTACCACCACGAAGGCTTTATACATGGACCTCACCACAGTACACCCCACAACATATAGTCAGGAATCAAATAGACTATTATAAGCGCTTTCGTAATTGCATTAAAAGCCCTAAGACTTATCCTGGAGCTGACATTAGATCTGATCACAAACAAGTGGTCACTACAATATCGTATACGCTAAAAAGAGTAAAGAAGCGACACAAAAACTTAAAATAGATATCATGAAACTTACAGACAGTAACACTAAAGCGAATGTGAAATAAATAAGTAAGCAACAGAAACAAAATCTAGGACACTGTGTATAATAGACATGGATCAAGCTATAGACCAAATTTGGAAAAATTAATACAAAACTTTTAAAAAGAGACTGGGCTCCTAAACAAAGTTGTATGACAGAAAAAATATATAACCTTATAGAGGAAAGTAGACTAAAAGAATTCCGATAAAATCAATTATACGGAGATTGACAAGAGAATCCGACGGGAAGTCTGCTATGCCAACAATGCTTGGTATCAGGGCTTGTAGAGGATCTTTATGCTAAACATGACGCGTTTAATCTTCATAAGGAAATAAGTAGTTTTATTGGATATAAAACCACCAACTCATAAATGAACAGAATGTCTTTATACTGGATTCAACAAGGAAAAAACACCTATGGGAACAGTACATCTCGTCAATGTTCGCTGATGATTCACGTAGTTCAGCTATAACCTGTGATTTGAGTGATGGGTATTCTATTCTAAAAATCTAAATTACGGAGGCTCTAAGAAAAGCTAAAACTGAGAAATTAGCTAGCCCAGATGATGTTTACATAGAGATACTCAAACTTATTTAGGGAAAAATATTGATGCCCTCGTTAATTTTTAACGATAGATATTATTGAGGCCACTTACCCAAGGACTGGTTAACATCACCTTTCATTACACACCCTAAGAAAGCCAAAAATTGCGAACCATTAGCCTTATGAGTCAAGCATTGAAACTATTTATACACATCATTCACGAAAGCATTAGAGTCAAGTGTGACTAACAATTCCCGGATGGCTAGTTCGGCATTAGATCAGAAGTTGGTAGAAGCTCTATTTTCAATACAAATTTTGGTGCAAAATGTTTAGATATGCAGCAGGATGTTTTTCTTTGCTTCCTCGATTGAAAAAAAGCTTTTAATCGAGTGTTGCATGACCGCCTTATTGCAATACTACAAAATAGCGGCGTAGATAGCAAGGATATACGTATCATACAGAATCTGTATTGGAAATAACGAGCTACTATTCAAGTTGATAATGAAGAGACAGCGTATATTGAAATTAAAAAGGGAGTTCGGCAGAGCTGTATTCTGTCACCTACCCTATTTAACTTGTACTCAGAAACTATAATATCAGAAGCAGTCGAGGACCTAGACTGTGGCGTCAAATTATCAAATATCAATGATATTAGATTTGCAGACAATACAGTCTGCTGAAGATATACAGAGAATTGTCACCTGAGTAAATGATTGCAGTGAAAGAGCTGGTCTTAGGACGAATATTTCGAAGGCAAAGCTCATGGTCATTTTTAAAAATAATTTTGACGACAAGCCAAAAACTAAAAAAAATGCGCAAATATAAATATTTAGGTACGTGGTTAAACGAGACGTGGAGCAGCGACCAAGAAATTAAGACCGGAATTGAAATAGCTCAAAGTAACTTTAGCAAAATGAAAAAAAAGGAGTAGATCTCTTTGCGCACTCGACTACTACAATGTTACATCTGGCTCATACTTTTATACAGATGTGAGGTGTGGATAGTTAGAGAGGACCTCCAAAAACGTATAGAAGCCTTCAAGATGTGCGCATACAGACGAATGTTGGGCATTAGCTTGACTCACAGAATAACGAATGTGTAAGTTCTGCGACGAGTCGACTAAAAGCACGAACTTATGCAGACCGTCAAAATAAATAAAGTAGCATATTTAGGGCACGATCTTAGGCACGAGAGGTATGAACTCCTAAAACTTTTATTATTATGGGAAAAGTAGCCAGAAAAAGAGGAGAATTCAATCGCAGAAAAAAGACATGGCTATGTTACATCCGGGAGTGGACAGAATTTGCGAGTGCCGCCAAACTGTTTCGCCTCGCGAAGAATAGAGCTGAGTTTACTAAACTGACTGCCAACCTTCGCTAGTCGGAGAAGCACCAGAAGAAGAAGAAGAAGATCATCCTGATAATAACTTAAAATAATAAAAAACTGCGGTTGCCAGGTATGAGGCAATCTATCTGGGAGGCCTATGCTCAGCAACGGCCAGAAGTCTCGTATCTTGAAGTAAGTCTTCGTTTAGAACGATATATGTACAATTTACTTAATTTGGTTTGGGATACATCCTTAAAATGCATACCCGGAAAGGCGGAAGGAAAAAAAAACGGAAAGGGGTCTTCCCTGAAATTATTCGTTTCGCCAGTACAAAGATTAGAAAATTAAATGTACATTCTATAACGAGATAACGAACGGACAAGGGAAATTGGAGATTGCCTTACTTTACTCTAATTTTAAGGAAAAATATTCAGAAGGCAGCAAATTATCTGATAATATTTTATCCATTTCTATTAGATTGCTTTGAATATTTAAAATTTTGTTTTGGTTTGAATATCAAAAGAGAAATCAAGGCTAAATATTGGTGTTCGCTCGACTAAGTGGAGAGGATGAGAGAGGATCAGATTGAGACAACGTTTTTGTGACGATTGACGACTGAACGCATTTCTCATCAGCTGTAAAGTCCAAAAAGTGTCTAAACGCCGTTCAAATCACCTACAGGTAAGAAGAGATGCAGAATCGAGTCAGATGGCTCCAGGAATCGTCAGAGGCCAAGATATTTGAGTGACTGCGGCACTGAAAAAAATTAATATTATTCATAAATAGGTATCTATTATAGGGCTCCACAAATCCACTGTTGAACACAGACCTTCCGCAAGGAACGCCACAAAATTTAGACAGGCACTTAACGAAGTATCTAGGATGATTGTGGAACAAATAGTACACTGCACTATCTGCATGTCTCAGAAATTAATTATTTCGAAGAGATACTTAATTTTTTAGAAATTAAGTATCTCTTCGAAATACTTAATTTCTTAGACATGAAGAGTTTTCAGGAAGTTTCTTCA